CAGGCAGCGGCGGCACCTGGGGCTTTTTCAGCCTTCCTCCAACGACGTCTGCCGCTAGCCCACGCCGTGCGCCTCCGCCGCCACGGCGAGGAAAAAGAGTCCCGCCCGCCCCCCGCGCCGGCGCTCCGCCCCGCCCCCGGATCGGGCGGGGCCGGGACCTTTCGCCCGGAGATAAGACTTGGTGTTCTTTCTGTCCTGTTGGGCCAACAACGTGCACAAGACTATCTCCTACGTGCCAGCGTCCCTGCCCTCAAGGAGTTAATAGTCTGGCGGCGAGGGTGGGAAACATAAATCGATGATTTCAATCATGTCAATGCACCGAGGCAGATGCCCTGAGAGAAATAAACAGTGAAGCCTGGGGACCGGGAGGAAGAGTACGGTGCAAAGGGGCGAGATTTCCCTTTCTAGGAAGAGGTTGCCCACCAGAACGCCATGGACCTAGAAAACAGTTATCACGGTGACAATTGCACTTTTGATCCCTCGCCTGTGCTAAGAACTTTCCTAAGCGTTTTTGCGTGATTAATCAATCGTTTAATCTGAAGAGTGGTTTGGGGTTTACAAAAGAACGGGAGGATCTGGAGCCGCAGGTAGATTAAGTCCTTTACCTAAATTCGCACAGCTAATACAATGCATGATGGAGAGTCTATTGGGAGGTGGGGGGCGGAGACAAGTGGTCTACCACAGTATAACAAGGTTGGATTTGATTCAGTCGTGTGTTCTTAAACATAATAGAGATCCAAAGGCTGAAGCGTATGAACCGGACGGGGCAAGCACTCAACTCAGCCGCATCCACAGTACACCGGTACTGGGGGAAACTTGGGGAATTGAAACGGGAGGGCTCGGTTTTGTCTAACACCTTGTGCATCTTGTGCAGCCAAGTTAGTGACTGTACCTTGGTTCCGAATTGGAAATGTCATACAACATGGTCGTATCCTGTCACCTCTCTTTTTCAATTTGTATGCTGAGCCCATCGGTGACGCAGGACATCATGAAGAGGGGGGCGGCCTTGGGATTCGAGGAAGACACATTAGAATCTGCTGATATGCAGATGACCCAGCCTTACTTGCAGAAAGTAAAAAAGACAAAGTGTTCACAAATGAAGGTCAAAGACGACACCCTTCAGTATGGATTGTGTCTCAACGTGAAGAAAATAAAATTCCTTACAACTGGACCAAATCACATCCTGGTAAATGGAGGGGGGGAAATGAAGTTAGCAACAATTTTATTCTACTTGACCCAACTATCAATGTCCTTGGGAGCAGCAGTCAAGAAATCAAATACCATATCACATCAGTCAAATCTGCTGCAAAAGACCTTTCGAAAGTGTGAAAAGCCAAGATGTTGCTCTGATAACTAAGGTGCCCTTGATCCAAGTTATGATCTTTTCCATTGTTTCATGTGTGTGCAAAACCTAGAAAACAAAAAAGGAAGATGGAGGAATCGATAGATAAGAACTGTGGTATTGGAGAATACTGAACTCCCGGAAGAACAAATCAGTCTTAGAAATACAGAACACAACAACAACAAACCCAGGATACTCCTTAGAAATAAAACTTTTTAAAAAAAGAGAGAGAGAGAGAAAGAAACACAACTTCAAACCAGCTCTAAACAGTTCAGTTAGAGCCCATAGGAACAAGGGCAAGCTATATGGATTGCAACCAAGTATCTTGAATTCGATTTTGACCCAAGTCATAAACAGGCAGTGGTGCCCCCCTCAAAGATGGCAGCTCACACACATTCAGAACAGCTCAGTTGGCCACTTCTTTGAGTGGGGCATCATGACTTGGCTCCTCCCAAAACCAAAACCTAACTCACTGCCATCCAACTGCCATCTTAGCAATCCTGGGTCTTCACAACACTCAAAACTCACTCCTATCAAGTCAATTCTGACACATAGAGACCCTTTAGGCAGAGTAGAACTGTCCCTGTGATTTTCTGAGACTGTAACTCTTTACAGGTGTAGAAAACTTCATCTTTCTCCTGCGGACCGGCTGGTGGTTTCAAACTTCTGACCTTGAGGTTAGCAGCCCAAGGTGTAGCCACACCACCACCAAGGATCCTACCACTACAAAACAAAACAACCCACTGCCATCAAGTCTATGGTGACACATAAAGCTCCCTTGGAGCAGCTGATGGTTTTGAACTGCAGACCCTGCAGTTTGCAGCCTAACATAACCACTGTGCAACCGGAGCTCCTTACCAAGGCTCTTACTCCAGTCAAAAATCAATGCACAAGAAACTTAGCATGCTGCCCTTATTTCCCTGTGCTATGATGATGGAGCCTTTTGGAACCAGTTGTAAGGCCGGCCTGCTTAGAAGTCAGGAGGGTTAGGCTTCGGCGGGCTCATTTTGGACACGCCATCAGGAACAAGCAATTGCTAGCAAGGGGCATCAAAAATAAGAGGAAGCTTATTTTTGAATAATGAAACGAATTGACTCTAACAATGGAACTCATATCAACAATCATAAGGGTGGTTCAGGACCAGTCAACACTACATTCTTTTATTCCTAAGGCCAAGCCCGGGATAAGTACTCTGCTTCCATCCAACAGACTGGAGGTTCAAAATCCACCAGCTGCTCCTTGGGGAGAGGATGTGGCAGTCTGCTTCCATAAAGATTTAGCTTTAAAAGCCCTATGGGGGCAGTTCTACTCTATCCTAAAGGGTCACTGAGGTGGACTGGATTTGATAGCAGGAGTTTCAGTTTTTTTATGATGCACATAAGTTACCAGATGCCTGAGCAGGCTCAAGGGCTACACCCTGTGTTAGGTCACCAGTTCAAAACCACCAACCACTCCTCAGGAGAAAGATAAGGCTTTCTACTCCCATAAAGAGTTACAGTCTTGGAAACTGATTGTGGTAGCGATTGTACAATTCTACTTGAACTATGGAATTATATATGTATTAACTCCCAATGAATAATAAACTAAACAATTTTTAAAGTGACAGTTCTACCCTGTCCTACAGGGTTGCTTGCTATGAGTCAGAATCGTGGACATCATGGTAGTAAGTTTTGGTTCAGCATTTGGTTCAGGGTGGTAACTATTATTTGTCTAATGCTTACCATGTAAAAAGCACTGTTTTCAATGTTCTGTGAGTCACCACCACAAAGCTACGGGGTAGGTGCCACTATTATCCCCGTTTTGCAGAGCAAGCAATAGAGGTACAGAGTGAGACATGTGAACACTCTTGAGATACCGGACTGTGGGCACGCTGCTCAGCCATGGGAAAGGGGAGGCTGGAATATAGCCGCAACATTGTAAAGCTCTTTGATCCAAAAAGTAACCAAAGCCGCTGACTGTTTCCAGCCTCCTAAAGAGTCGTCAATGGAGCCTGTGTCTGCGTTCAATGACGGGGAAGAAGTCTCATCCTTAGGGAGTCTTCTGTTTAAGCATCCTCCTCAATAAACTTTACTCCAAGATACCAGAGCCCCTCACCCCCACCCCTCCAAAGTTCAGAAAGGTCCTCTGAGAAGGGAATCCTTAACCCTAGAGCTTTGAAATCTGCTTCTGCACCCCACGGCAATGGCGACTCAAGCCAAGGACCAGCTAGTATCACAGTCAAACGCACAATTAGGTAGCGAGTATACATGATTCCTTGCAAAATCATTTTAACTTTGCGGAAACGTGAAACTTTTTCATGATCAACTCTTGGAGAGAAATCATCCTTGTTGCTCCTCGTTGTGGGTCGAGTGCCTGCATGGAGTTGATTTCCTGTCATGTGCTCCCTCTTGGGAGAGTGGAGACTTCGAGACTACTTTCGCCTGTAAGCGTTTGCATCTTGCCAGTCAGGTAGATATCACTTAGAGAAACCCTGCAAATACGAATCATGGCCGTCATTTAGTTAGAGTGGACAGGAAGAACAAGCCTAAGAAAATCTTTCCCAGTTTAAAAACCCTGTCCGAGGACTCCCTCACGTTCCCAACTCCCAAGGTCTCCCAGCCTCCCTTCCTCCATTTCCGGTAATGACCCTAAGTGAGGAGATGCTGTTGCTCCCAGATCAGGCAGCAGCTGTTTGGCTCCCCGCGGGCACGGCGTGACGTTGAGGAAGGGGGGGGTCGGTTGCCAGGGTAGTGAAGGGGAACCCAGGGACCGAGGGGGCTCTCGGGGAAGACGACCACTCCCCCAACCCGCAGCAGACGCTCCCCCTTGCCCTTTATGATGTGTGTTTACATGGGCGGAGGGATTCCTCTCCAGCTGACAGCCACACCGCGGCCGGCTCTTCTTTTTTTAAAGAGCCCAGCCGCGGGCTGTGATTGGCCGCGGCGCGGGCCGCATCAGTCTCGGGGGGCGGGGCCCGGGCCTCATTGTCTCGTCTGGGGCCGGCTGGACACCCTAGAGGCCAGACCTGGGCAACCCCTGCCGGGAGGTGCCCAAGCAGCAACGCCCGGAGGGACGGGAGCGAGGCCTGGGCGGGGTCAGGTTCAAGTTCCCCGGGGAAAGTGGGGTTGGCGCGCTGGCGGCCGGAGCGGAACCGAGCTCCGCTGCGAGTGCCACGTCTCCAGGAACCCCCTCCTTACTCTTGGTCAACACTCCGCCCCCACCTGGGCCTCCGTCCCCCAAACCGTCCCCATCTGTGCAGCCCCAGATTCCTGGCCACGCTTCCTACACCCAGGGGTCTCCACCCCATCCGGCCTTCTCAGCGCCGAACCCCCACCCCCACCCCAACTTCCCACTTCAACCCCACTCCTGGGCGGGCAGCTTTCGCCCCGAGATTCGCCCTCTGGGGATGAGGCGCTGCCCGAGCTCCTTCTGACCGCTACAATGGGAAGCCCACTCTCGTGGGTTCCCAACTAGGGGAGCCACTTCCTCTCCCGGCCCCCAAGCAGACCCGGGAGCCCGGGCCCGGGAGGTGGGGGCAGGCCCTGCGCCCCAGTGGCCTGCACAGCACGTAGCGCACGTGTAGGGCCCGGTCCCCCACCCACTCGGTCGCCGCCGCGGCCTCCTTGCGATGGCCTGCTGGACTCTGGGTGTCAGCTCTGCGCCTCCTGCCGCCCTGACCTCTAGCCTGCGGACTAGACAACACCAGGCAGCCTTCCACTGCGAGCCCCTGGAATCCAGTGGTCTTCCTCCTCTCCCCAGCTCCCCCAGTGCGCCGACTTGCCCTTGGCCTTTTCTCCACTGCCTCTGTGTCGTTCAATTTCAATGCCGTCTCTCACCAAAACCACAACCCCAACTCGGGTGCCCTGGAATGTTTGTTTCAGACGTCCCCCAGGGAAACTTACAAACCCTTGGGATCTTGCCTCTCGGGATGAACTGCAGTCTTTAGGGCCTCGTTTTATTTTGTGTACTCCCACTCTGTCTTGTTACTCCTCTATTTTACTGCACTGATAACTCGGTAAAATTGTCTAATATCCCCTGGTGTCCCTGCCTTCTCCCTCTGCACGCGGCTCTCCCACCAGGCTGTAAACCTGGTTTTTTACAGGAGAGAAGAGTTCCTGTCTCAATCCCCGCACTAGACACACAGTAGACCAAAACCGAAACAAAACAACCCACTCTCACTGCTGCTTAGTGAATCTTGAGACTGTCTACAAAAGTGGAGGAGAGGCTGGCGAGTTTGAACCCCGCTCATCTTGCCATTTACACTCCAAGGAGTAACCCCTGACACCAGAGCCCCTTAAGTATGTGGTAGATGCTCCACCGGTATTTGTTGTGGGGGAGAGGAAATGGCCTTGAATTTCTGTGTCTCAGACCGCTGAGGTCAGTGCTTTGGGTAGGACAAGGAGAAGGGTCTGGTTATCCAGGTGAGGCAGGACAGGAACCCACGACAGATGGGATCAGGGTTTGGGGGCAGCCCATTCCGTGGGTGGCCACCACAACTGAAATCGACCTTGGCTAGCTGCCCCTCCCCCCTCCTGCCTCCATCATCCACCTCCCCCACCCTTTCCCTCCCCTGCTCATGTCCCTGGAGCCAGCTCCCCCTCCTCCTGTGGTGCACGGTCTGTTCCTGCCAGGAACTTTGGTGTTCCCTGTGTTTCGCTGGCCCCAGCGGGTGAGGGCTGTCCTTGGGGATCAGCCACATCTTTGACAAGGGTCTTTTCCTGAGCTTCTGGCCCGGGAGAGCTGGGTCTAGGCCCTGCGGTGACATCTGGTAATGAAATACTTGTAATCCCTTTTTTGCTGACTCGGTCCAAGGGGCTCCACAGGTAACTGAGCTCCCAGTTCTGGGCTTTGGTTTAACCTGGGTGTGGGGCCCAGAGGGCTAGAACCATGTCTGGGCCCCCTCCCCCAGGGAGTCTCCAACAGGCACTGGCAAGTGGGACATTCCCAGGGTGCTGCCAGCCCTTCCTATGGGGGATGGGAGGAGCAGAGTTACCCACAGCAGGGCTTCAGGGTGTGTTCCCTACAGGTCCGGTTGGGCCACTTTAGAAGCCCTGTCTCCTGCAGAAGGACTTGAGCTCCTGTGAGAAACTGAGAAGGAAAGTGAAGTTCAGGGTTCATTACCGGGTCCTCCCCACGCCACCACCTCTAACTCAGGGCTCTGTACCACCAGCGCCATGGGGCGCCTCTCAGCATGCTCCATGGTCTTGAGTAGCTGGAATGTTTAGAATTCTCTGTATCAGGGATGAAAGTGTTCCCTCAGGATGGAAAGGGCTTCAACGGAACACCTTGCCATGACCATCTGCGATTTGCCGTTTGGTCAAGTTACGCACAGTCTCTAGCACGAAATGCTAAATGCCGATTCCTTTGCTGCTGTTCCCTGGCAAGGGATAGGGGCGAGGAGGTGGGGAAGTGGAAAGACGTGATCAACTGGAAATACCGTCCTAACGAAATAAGACAGGCTCACTGGCCAGGAGTAATTTATCATCTATTGGGCACATCAACCCTGTAAAGTAGGCACACATTATTGTCATCATTTTTCACATAGTGAAATCGAGACTCAGAAAGGTTAATTAGCCAAAGTCACACACGATAATAGCAGAGTTAGGACTGTAATCTTCTGGGGAGGGTCTTTGATCTTCTCCAGACACCAAGCTGGCGTCCCTAAAGCTGAGGAAAAGAGACACAGAAGCCCATCCCAAGTCTCATTTCATGCTGTTCCCTAGCCTGCGAAGAGGCCAATCCATTCTCTCCCCACTAGGTCATTGTGACTTCAAATCCTCTGGACTGTGATCTACATTATCTTTGTCCACACAGCAGGAGAGTTTCACCAAATAAGACTTACCTTTGTGTGCTGATGCAGGTCGCACTGACCTGGGATCCAGGCTGATGAATTGTTAAATGGATGGTGGTCCTCGGTTTGAAAGATACTGTTTTGAGGTTAACTTTACCAGCAGTTGGGCAGTTTTCATAAAGGTATAGCTGGTTCACTCTTCATACCCAGCTAGTCTTGAATTTCTGCCTCTGTCCCCTTATCCTTCATATTCCCAGCAGGTACCTGTCATAGATCGAACTGTGTCTCCCCCAAAAATATGTGTCATCTTGGCCGGACCATGACACACAGTGGTTTGGCGGTTGTGCAATGATGTAATTATCCTCCATGGTGTGAGCTGCTGTGAGCCATCAACTGTGAGGGATTAGGATGGGAAGCAACACCCTTGCTCAGGTCACAGTTCTGATTTTATATCAATTTCCATGGGTTGTGGCCCGCACCCCGACCCGCCTTTTTTCCCCACTGGGAATAGATCACCAAACTTATGCTATCAAGTTACTTCTGACTCATAGAGACCCAATGAGACAGGGAATAACTGCCCCTGTGGGTTTCCATAAGTCTTCATGGGAGTAGAAAGCCTTCTCTTTCTCCAGAGGAGCTGGTTTCAAACTGCTGACCTTGCGGTTAGCAGCACCCTGCGTAACCACTATGCCACCAGCATGGTCCCTGGGTTTCTGCTTATTGTGTCCTCAGTCCCACAGTCTTGGGCCAGCGGAGGAGAAGTCTCAGTGCTGCTCCTCTGAGTCTCCATGGCAGTCCCTGGTGCTTCTGGTCTCGGTGGCCTCCACCACTTCAGACAGATCTTAGACACGCTCTTCCAATGGTCTTCAGCCCACCCTCCCTTTTTTTTGTTTTTTGTTCTCCCTCCCCTTTTTTAAAGGCAGGTAAAATGCCATTTACAACCAACTCCATCTTATGTCTTTTGCCTCCTCCTGCACCACTCTCTGGGAACCCTGGTGGTTCATTGAGCTTCTGAGCACTAGGTCAGTTGTTAGAACTCACCAGCTGCTCCACAGGCTGCTTTCTCGGTCCCATAAACATTTAGTCTTGGAAAACCACAGGGGCAGTTCTACTTTATCCCCCAGGCCTGCTGTGAGTCAGAATCGACACGATGGCAGTGAGTGAGATCTGTTTTTCTTGCATCACTTTTATGTCCAAGTAATAAAAGAAAGATGGAGAGAGAGAACTTAGTACCAGCAAGAAGAACTGAGAGCAGAGTGCATCCTGTGGACCCAGGGCCCCTGTGCTATGAACCTCCTGTTCTGAGAGAAGGTTGATGTCAGAGCACATAGATGGAGAGAAGGTTGATGTCAGAGCACATAGATGGAGAGAAGGTTGATGTCAGAGCACATAGATGGAAGGCTTCAAGGAAGAGCAAGTCTGCAAAGGTTGCAGAGAGACCAGGACCTTCCCCCGGAGCCCACACATAGAGGAAAAGCCTTCCCTTAGGGCTGGCACCTTGAATTCAGACTGCTAGCCCCTTCCACAGTGAGAAAGTACCTTTCTGGTTGTGAAAGGCTCCCCCCTGTGGGATTTTTGTTACAGCAGCTCTGGAGAGCAAAGACCGGCCCGAGCACAAGGCACGGGCACACGAGCCTCTCTCCTCCTCCTCTAGGTCTTCGCTCTTCCTCAGTCACACATCTACTCGCTTCCCTCCTACATCTACTTCAATCTTTCAACTCCAGGGATCGGGCCCCATCTTTTAATTATGTATATAATTATATACACATGCAGTTTTAACCTAGTCCAATTGCCACTGAGTTGATTGACTCAAGTGGCCCCATGTGTGTCAAGATTAGAACTGTGCTCTACAAGGCTGAATTTTTTTTCTCAACTATGATAAATAGATAGCTAACAGCACATTCGTCATTTCAAAAATCCTCAACTCCATAGGGCCTCAAGGGTTGGGTTTTTTGGGAAGTAGGTTGCCAGGCCTTACTTCTGAGTTACTTGTGGGTAGACTCAAACCGACAACCTCTGGCTAGCAGGAACTTCCAACCTATGGTAAGTAGTCAGTCATATTAATTGTTTGCACCACCTAGAAACTCCTATACAACTTTATTAGATATCACTTACATACCATACAATTCACCCATTTAAAGTGATTCCTATCACCTCTTTTCAGAAAAAAAATTATTTAAAGACACCCTCCCTAGGCAATTAAAAACTTCTATATCATGAAGTTTTATCCTGCCCATGATCCAGGATAAAGTGTAGGTATCTGCTTCCATAGCCTCCCTGAATGGTTCTAGTACTTTAGGAAACCCTGGTACAAATCAGTGGTTTTTAATGTAATTGTCAATGTGTGAAACCAACACTAGTCAATTTTAGAACATTTTCATCACCTCAAGGAGAAACCTCCATATCCTTTACCTAGAAGGTTCTTTCCCCATCTTCACCCCTTCCCATACCTACTCATCCACCAGGCACAAGCAGCCAGCACTCTACTGTCTCTCTATAGATTGCCCTATTTCAGACTTTCTGAAGAGTGGAATCGGGGAGGGAGGAGGCAAAGGGGCACTAATATCAAGGAGTTCAAGAAGAAAGAAAGTGTTTTGAAATCAACTGTGGTAGCAATTGTACAATACTGCCTGATGTGATTAAGTTATGGAACGTTATGATACCTGTAAGGGCTGTCCATAAAATGATTAAAAAAATAATAAACCCGGAAAAAAGGAAGAGTGGAGTCATATAACATGGTCTTTTGAAACTGTCTTTTTTCACTTAGCATACTGTTTTCAGGGTTCACCCATGTCATCGGATGTATCAGTGGTTCATTCCTTTGTGTGGCTGAGTAATATTCCACATTTTGTTTATCCACCTGTCCACTCACGGGCATTTGGCTTATGTGCTACAGTGAATTTCTTGATCAGGCTCTTTGAGCCATCCACTGTCTTTGTGATTCCTGCCAAATGACTGGATGACTGGGCCGCACTATCCAAATAGGAAGTATTTGTGGCCACCAAAGGGATTGGACAGATTGCTCATCCTGTAAATAAGGTACATGGTGCCATGTGGGTGGGACCATGCAAATAAGGTGTATGGAACTCTAAGGTAGAGATTGGTCAGTTTTACCATCCTGCTACGTTTAAAATGAGCCATGGCAGAAGCTGAAAAGGAAAAACCTCACCAACATCAAGAAAGAAGAGCCAGGAGTGGAGGGCATGCTTAGTCTTCTGAAACCCCTTTGTGCTGAACCTCTTCAATCCTAGAGACAGGGAGCCGAGAGCCTAGGAAAGTGGTGGGGAAACCACGGCAGCACAGGCCACAGCACCAAGCGCAGAGGCAGAGTGGTAGCTTCCTGACAGCAGAGAGAACGCAGAGTGACATGCTTCTAGGGATGTAATGGGGGAGGGAGGTTTGCTGACCCCTGTGGCTCGAACTGAGTGCCTTCAGACTAAGGTTTCTGGCGGACAGAGGCCAAGAGTCCTTGTGACTGACAGGCTGAAGAGATAGGTGTGCCTGCAGGCCAGCTCAGAAGAGTTCCTGATTGAAGAGCTGTATCCTGTAACCTGAATGTTTCTGATTCTGAATTGTAGCATGTTAATTTTTCTAATAAATCCCTACAATCGTATTAACTGTCAGATCAGTGTGGCCACTACAACCAACAATAAAATCCATCAGTGAGTGATATGGGAGGGATGGAGTCCTGGTGGGGTAGTACGTTACTCGTTGGGCTGCGAACTGCAAGGTCAGCAGTTCAAAACCACACCTTTCTCCATGAGAGACAGAGTGACAGGATCCAGTCTCGAAGATGCCCTGGAACAGTTCTACCCTGGCCTAGAGGGTCCGAATGGACTTAGTGGCAGATTGGGTTTTTCTGGTTTGTTTTTTTTTAATCATTTTATTAGGGGCTCATACAACTCATCAAAATCCATACATATATCGATTGTATAAAGCACATTTGTACATTCATTGCCCTCATCATACTGAAAACATTTGCTCTCCACTTAAGCCCCTGGCATCAGCTCCTCATTTTCCCCCTCCCTCCCCACTCCCCCCTCCTTCATGAACCCTAGATAATTTTTAAATTATTATTTTGTCATATCTTGCACTGTCCGATGTCTTCCTTCACCCACTTTTCTGTTGTACATCCCCCAGGGACGAGGTTATATGTAGATCCTTGTAATCAGTTCCCCCTTTCCACCCCACCCTCCCGGTATCGCCACTCTCACTACTGGCCCTAAAGGGATCATCCGTCCTGGATTCCCTGTGTTTCCACTTCCTATCTGTACCAGTGAGCATCCGCTGGTCTAGCCAGATTTGTAAGGTAGAATTGGGATCATGATAGTGGGGTGGGTGGTGGGTGAAGCATTTAGGAACTAGAGGAAAGTTATACGTTTCAT